CACACACACATAACACACAGCAACCCCCCGCCCACACCACACACACACACACACACAGCAACCCCCCGCCACACACACACATACACACACAGCAACCCCCCCCACAACACACACACATACACACAGCAAACCACCCCACACACCACCACACAGCAAACCCACAACAACCCACACACACACAGCAAACCCACACACACAGCAAAACCACACACACACACACCCAAGCAAACCCACCACACCACACACAGCAAACCCACACACACACACAGCAAACCCACACACACACACACACACACACACACACACAGCAAACCCACACACACACACACACACAGCAAACCACACACACACACACACACCACAGCAAACCCACACACCACACAACACACACACAGCAAACCCACACACACACACACACACACACACAGCAACCACACACACACACACACAGCAAAAAAAAAAAAAAAAAAAACCCACACACACACAGCACCCCCCCGCCCCCCCCCCCCCCCACACACACACACATACACAGTAAACCACATACACCATACACTACACACATACACATACACACAGCAAACCCACACACACACAGAGCAAACACACATACATACACACCCAGCAAGCGCACACATACACACACAGCAAACACACACATACACACACAGCAAACACACACATACACACACAGCAAAACACAACACATACACACACAGCAAACACACACACACACACACACACACCACACACACACACACAACACACAACACACACACACACAGCAAACCAAACACAACACACACCACACAGCAAACACACACACACACAGCAAAACACACACACACACAGCACACACACACACACCAGCAAACACACACACACACACACAGCAACCACACACACACACAGCAAACACACACACACACACAGCAAACACACACACACAGCCAACACACACACACAGCAAACACACACACACACAGCAAACACACACACACACAGCAAACACACACACACACAGCAACACACACACACACAGCAAAACACACACACAAACACACACAAACACACACACACGAACACAACACAACACACACACACACAGCAAACACACACACACACACAGCAAACACACACACACACACACAGCAAACACACACACACACACTGCAAACACACACAAAAACACACAACACACACACAGCAAACACACACACACACAGCAAACACAACACACACACACACACAGCAAACAAACACACACCACACACACACACACACACACACAACACAAAACAAACACACACACACACACACAAAACAACACACACACACAGCAAACAAACACAACCACAACACAGCAAACAAACACACAGCAGAACAATACACACACACACACACACACACACACACACACACACACACACACACACACACAACCACACACAGGCAAACACAACACAGCAAACACACACACACAGCAACACACATACACACACACATACACACACACAGCAAACACACACATACACACACAGAGCAAACACACATACACAACACAGCAAACACACATACACACACACACACACACACAGCAAACACACACACACAGCAAACACACACACACAGCAGACACACACACACAGCAGACACACACACACAGCAGACACACACACACAGCAGACACACACACACACAACACACACACACACACACGACACACAACACACGACACACACACACACACACGACACACGCACACACACACATACACACACACCATACAACACAGACAGCAACACACACACACACACACACACACAGCACAACACACACACCACACACGCAGCAGTGTACGAACACACACACACACACGCAGCAGGTGTACGAACACACACACACCACACACACTCACACAGCAGGCGCGCGCACACACACTCACACAGCAGGCGCGTGCACACACACACACACACACACTCACTCACACATTAGGCACCACGCACACACACACACACACACACACACACACACACACACACACACACACACACTCACTCACTCACTCACTCACTCACTCAACTCACTCACTCCACTCACTCACACAGCAGGCACGCACACACACACCACACACACACACACACACACACACACACACACACACACACACACACACTCATGCACCACACACACACACTCATGCACACACAAACACACGTATGCACACGACACACACACACTCATGCACACACACACACACACACACATACTCATGCACACACCACACACACACCATGCACACACACACACACATCATGCCACACACAGCACACACACACACACTTGCACACGCACTTGCACACGCACACACACACACAACACACACACACACCCACACACACACACACACACACACACACACACACACATACATAACACACACATACATACACACACATACATACACAGCAGGCACACACACATGCATACACAGGCAGCACACACACACACATACACAGCAGGCACACACACACATACATACACAGCAGGTGCACACACACACATACATACACAGCAGGCGCACACACACACATACACACACAGCAGGCACACACACACATACATACACAGCAGGTACACACACATACGTGCACAGCAGGCACACACACACACACGCATACACAGTAGTTGCACACACGCACATACACAGCAGGTGCGTGCATACATACGTACACAGCACGCGCACACACACACACACACACACCACACACACACACACACACACACACCACACACACACACACACACAGAGCAAACCTACACACACACACACATACACACACACACACACAGAGCAACCTACACACACACACACACACACACACACTCATACACAGTAGGTGCACACACACACACACACACCACACACACACAACACACACACACACCCACACACACACACACACACACACACACACACAGCA